ACATATTTTTTCACTTACACATACACTTAATCACCCATAAATAACAAACAAGTGTTAACTAAAACTCTCTATGAATCGAGTTTAGAATCTTAAAATTGAAATCTATTCATCGAAACCATCTTTGTGATCGGTTACCATTCATATGGATTCAGATTATATCTTCATTACAATTTTATTCAATAACAAATCACTCATTAGTAGATCACTACTCAATTGAAACTCATTATGTGGACCTCTTATTTTTACATGATTGATGGATGATCTATTGTTGAATGAAAGTGTAATGAAGAAGATTTAAATAGTGTCGTTGAGTGTTTCAATGAGGAAAGAGGGTTGAACTATACTACATATTTATTGAATGCTTCAACAAGTGCATTGATGATTTCCTAGCCCACCTGCATTAACAACTTAGCAGTTCCAAGACCACGTGCCTTTGACATCGAATGCCAATTCTTGGTAGTTTACACTATCAACTAGATTTGTCATTATATTTCAAATTTCAATCCAATTCATATAGACACTAAAAAATCTTTTTTGGTATTAAAGAATTACTTTGCCATATCATATGGAAAGTTTGAATTTAAGCTAAGTGAGATTACACCAAAATACACTCATTTGAGATCGATTATAATCTGTCCGATTAATTCATATTGAATTGGAACTGTGGTATCATAGTAAAATCGGAAGTGTAATCCTTCTCAAATCTAAAAAATGATACCAACCATCATCTTTCCTTTTTTATTTTTTTTAAATTGTGTTTGGGAAATTGTTGAGAAGTCTTTGATATACCTGTCAAATGTCAATTGTGTTGGCTAAGGCGAGTTCGTATCAAGTTTTAGTAAGTTTGTGTTAAAAAAACGAATTGTGTTATATCGGATTCGTATTTTGCACGAACTATGTATGACCGATATAAAAATGAGTTGCGTTGTGTATTTTTTTTGATTGACTTACCAAATTTATTTATTAATTGTTTTGTATCAGATTCTCTCATTTATGAAAATGAGTGATTTAAAAAAAATGTAAAACTCTATAATTTTATGTGGCATTAGCGGATCATATCATACACTAATGTACATGATTTCCATTTTCGGAAGGTACTGAGGTCCACAACCATAACTCCGCGTTGAATGTGCAAATCTCAAAAAATTTAAGTCAGCCGTCGTGTCATTTAGACTCTAAATTTGGTCACAAAATTTGATCAGTGTAACATTACTAAACATAAACATGACATGAAGGAAGGAAGCAACCCATTATCCAACATGCTATTTTGTTTTGGATTTTGTAAAATGTGTTAAGAGATCAGTTTTTTTTATCATAAGCAGCCAAACATCAATATATTAAGTAGGAAAGTTAGAATTACAATCAGATAAAAGAGAAGTCTTAAGCTCGGGAGGGGAGAAGCCTAACCAATCCAAAGGAAGGGAGTTGGTTAGTTTAGCAGCTGCCACCTAATGAGTAGTCCTATTACAGGACCTAGGCTTGTGTAAAAAGTTAAAGTTATGTAACCTAGCCAAACATCTAATATCCTCCATAATAACTTTGATTTCCCATGGGGGAACATCCTTTGTAGAACTTAGTTTAATAATAGAAAGACAATCATTCAAAATTGTAATATTTGAGAGCAAAAGGGCAGCAACAACTTGGTAGGCATGGCGCACTGCCTTAGCTTCAGAGAAAAGAGGTGATACTGCAGGGAGAGACTTTGCAGCACCAAAAACAAAGGAGCCATCATCCTTAAGCAACACAAGACCACAGGCAATCGAAGCAGTCTTAGAATCAAAGGACCCATCACAGCAGATAAGAGAATCGGACCTAGGGGTTGGGGGAAGCACCACCGAAGACATAGGAGCAGAGCTGAGCTGAGAAACATCAGACATCTTAAATTGGTCACTCCAAAGACGTTGAGCACGATTAACTGCCGCAACAACGTTAACCTCTTCATCACAAAAAACCTTTTGATTCCTATCTTTCCAGATAACCCAACCCATAGTGCCTTGCTCAAAATCTCTAGTCTAGCCTGAGTAGTACCAACCTGCTCCAAAACCCAGGAAGATCTGTGTGCCACAGACAAAAATGGGTCCGTCTCCCATTCAAACGCCAAATTCATGCCAAACCAAACCCTATTTGTCCATTCACATTCAAATAAGAGATGTTCAGGGGATTCAATATGCCGCATACAGATAGGACAGCAGGGAGAGGAAACACACTTCCTTTTAAAAAGATTCTCTTGGGCAGCCAAAATATTGTGGCAAGCCCTCCACAAAAAATGTTTGACTTTAGGCAAGACCTTCATGTTCCAAAGGATCTTCCAGAGACTGGGATGAGGGGAAGAAGAAAACTGCACTCAAACTGAGTCCGCTTCTGCATGGAACCCAATCTATTGCCAAATTT